AATCTTGGTTCTACATAACACCAGAGGGAAAAATAAAGACCCTTATGGATATTATAGTGAGGCAGGTTTCAATTTACAAGAAAGAACTATATATATATATAAAGATCCCAAAATCAAATGGCTAACATTAGGAGTTAATGAATGTTACATCACTGGAAGTATATGATAATGAAGTTCTGCATTATAAAGATAATCATATGTAACAGTTCTAGTTCTGTCTAGAACTAGTTAATGACTTCTTTTATCAACACCTAGTTGTTCCTGTATTCACTTTTTTTTCACTTCTTTGAATCTAGCTTGAATTTCTAACAGATCTGAAATCTAAATACTTATCTCCATCATAAAACAGTACTACTATTTGCTATGAGTCTGATATGTTATTTTCAACACGTGATTCTGCATGAAATTAAACAAGTACCAAATTAAATCATCGGCTCCATTATCCTCTCTACTCACCATCCCCTTCCAAAGTCAGGTTTCACAATATGTAATTTGATCAAGCCTAATATTACTTGAATTTAAGTATCTAAGCACACGTTTAAATCTATCTGTATTACTTACACTTTTTTTTAACTAGAGAAATTTCTTAGAGGTGACATGGTAGAAAAAAGATGGCTTTTGTAATCTAGCATTATCACTTTTTTTTTTTTTAAAGATTTATTTTTATTTATTTATACAAGCACTGGGTACAGTCAGAAGCACGGGAGGGTGAGAGAATTCACCAGAGCCAGAGCGGGGAGCAGAGCAGGCAGAAGGACCGAAGTACACTGCTGAGGGGAGCAGCGGGCGGCAGGAGAGGTCTGCGCGCCATGTGGGACCCTCCTCCGGTGGCCGGGGAGCAGCCGGGGATCGAACTGGCGCTGCAGAGGCTGCGGGCAGCTTTGCAACCCAGCGCTCAACCGCTGTGCCACCGGGGAGGCCCTAGCATTGTCACTTTTAATGTGTGTGCTGCCTTGGAAAAGTTAATCTCTGATTCCCTCTTCACCTCATAAGATTAAATCAGGCATTGTCTACATTAGGTATTCAGTAGATGTAAGTACATTTCTCCAAGGACATTCTCCCTGTTAGCCATTGTACTAACAGTCTCCATATTTTGGTATTATTAAAAACCTTTTTAACTTGTTACAGAGTTAATACCCAAGTTTTGGGAGAACAGAGCAAGAACAACATCAACTAGGAATAAGAATCACAGAATGTTAACACTATCTTTTGATTCAACCCTTTCATATGAAAAAGAGGAAACAAACAATTATTTACCTCATGTCAAAATATTTCCTATTAATGCTGGGACCAAAACTTCATAGCTTCTTGCTTTCTAAATTCCAAAGCTGATGTCCCTTTTATGACATATGTGTATATATCTATATATTCCATAGAAGTTCATTTACATTAACATGAGAGACTACTAACAGGTAGTGAGAAATTTACTTCAAAAAATATTTTTAGTAATCATTCTTTGCTATTTCAAACAAAATACAAAGCATTTAGAAGCTTTTATTTTAAAATACTGAACTATAAGTAATATTTAAGATTCCTTCCTGTTATAATATCATTATACGTATCTAGAAATACTAAGCAGTATTCTCAACAATAATTATACACTCAATATACTAAATAAATCTTATGGATGGAAAGCAATAAAAATAACTAGAAAAACTAGTGACCAGATAAAAAATTTATTTTGAATTTTAAATTCTCAGAGTAATAAATAGTTAACATTCACAATGAAGCATGGTAAGGCAACTAATTTCTCTATTTCAGCAACCTGGAAATGCTTTAGTACGACTAAGTATTTTAAAGATAAGACCAAATGGAAAGAAAACTTAGTTTTCTATGACAATATCTACAAGTATATGAGTTACGACAGAAAGAAAAAAAATTCTATGTTGTCAGATCACTCATTCTTTCATATTTATTCTTATCTAATTCTAGTTGCAAACATCAAAACCTATCCAAATGTGAATTTTAGTGAGAAGAGGTGATGATACCCTACTGATTTTCTCACCTATGTATTTTAGCTACTGAAGAGTGCAGGGTCAGTGTTACTGAAAAACTTCAGTGTGCCAATTTTTGAAAGTTTATAAACATTTCCCAATATGTTTGATATTCCCTTCTATTCCTAGAATACCAAAACCCTCCTTCTGTTAGTTCTTTTTAGAATCTTTTAGTAAAAATACACATATGAAAATGCAACTTCAACAGCAGTCGCAGGGCTTCTGGAAGAACATTGATCGTGAGAAGGAGTTACAAATAACAACAGTTTTAATCTTGTTTAATGTCCTCGTTTAGTTCTAAACAGAACTTCATCGAGATTTGACCATGAGTCTCCTGATAATATTGCCGCAGACAATGATGTACATCAAATACATTAGTATCGTTCTGAATATTACATTTTAAATCTCAATTTTAATGGGTAGACAACTATGCAAAGAAAAGTCTTTTTCTGTGCTGCTGCTAACCCTCCACAGGAAACAGGAGCTTGCTAAGTGACCTCAGAGCTTACCTTCTTTGAGGTCCCGGGGGTTATTACTATTCTAAGAGAGTCAATGGTGACCTGTTTTGAGAAACCCAGGGGCTGACGTAGCCAGTCTTTCCTTGGGAATGTGATAAGGCAGCCTCACCTCAAAAGTAACAAAAACAGTGTTTTCATTATAGATAAAGTAGAAATTGTGAAATCCTTTGACAAGTTTGGTTATCAATAAGAAAAACATGAAGATAACCCCAAGGTTCATTAAAGAAGCAAGCTAATTTAAAGATGGGAAATAAGAAAAGTAACTGTTTAAAAAAACAGAAGGCTACATGGCAGTGGTTTCTTCAAATATTTTAAGAATAATTAGAAGGAAAGAAAGTTACTAAATGCAGAACTTGAAAAATGAATTTAAAAGTACTTAAGATTTTAGATTAAGACAGAATTTTCTGACATTTCTTCTCTCAACTTAGACCATTTTGCTTTAGTTTTGAGGCAGAGGGTTCATTCACAGAACTTCTCAAGCTCTGGAAATGCCAAATATTTTATTACATTTAATTATTCTTATACACCCTCATCGCTGTCTTATGAGCCCTAGTAAAGAGTTAATCCAGTCTCAAGGTTAAGCTTGAGCATACCAAGTAAGATAATTGGATCTTGTTATTTGCGTACCACTTCCTCAGATCTTATACTCCCTTTAGCCTTCTTGAAAAGCAAGACATATTAACCTGCACTTGGAAAGTTCATTGTGAAGATCTGGGAGCCCAGGTTAAGTATTTCAACTATTAAAATGAAGTTTCTTTCAGGGAATGTAGTTACTAACAATTGTCTTTATGCCAACAGGAAAAGAAGAAAATAATGATCCTAAAGTAAAGAAAGAAATCTACTCTTTGAAAACTTGAAAGATATTAAAGTATAGCGGCTCCCTGGCATCTTCTTATTCAGAAAAAATAGGATCTTCCTGTCATTAAATTTGATTTGCAGAGAAAAACCCAATAACTCGATTTGCCCCTTGTTTGGAAATACTATTACCTATCACATAAAGGAATGTAGTACTTCGAAGGAACATATCCCATTAAGTAACACTGGAAAACCAAGGAAGAGAAGTGAAGAATTTCATGATTAGGTGTTTCCACCTTCACCAGGAACAGAACTGAATGCAACTAAGAGTACATTCCTTTGGGACTTGCAAACCAAGTAATAAATGTTTATATATTTTGCAAAGAAGTAAGCAATCTGATTCTTCAAAATGTAGGTCGAAACAGTCAAGTTTAATACGTTAAAAGTGTGGTTTGGAAAAAAAAATCTTAAATTTTTATACATTTAAAAAAAAAAAAAAAGGTGGAGGGAGCAACGGTAAGAACTGAGAGCAGAACGCGGCTCTAGAAACGATACCTGTCCCAAAGTGGGTCTGCACGCGACTGTCGCCTTGCACAGCGCTCCTGGAAAGCTCACCTCCCAATCCCCGGGCGGGCCAAGGGTGGCAGCCTCCTAAAGAGGGAAACAGAACAGAAAGGATGCTGTTCTCGGCAGTCCTGGAGTTAGGGGACCGTCCTGATGGGGAAAAGTGGTGTCTCGGGGCGCAAGTCTTTCGTTTCCTCCGCTGCTACTCAGTCAGCTTCAGCTTTGGGGCAAACAGACTTGGGGTCATCTTGGGTGCAGAAGGCCTCAAGCTGCCTCAAGAGCCTCCCAGGGCCCCAGCAGCGGTGTCCACATCTGGCCAGTTGCGGGCTCCTGCCCCGAGCGCCTCCACGGCCAACGCCTCCGGACGCGCGGGTCTCGCTCCCCGCAGCCGCACTCGGGGCGGGGCCGGCCGGGTCCCGCGCGGGTCAGCGCCGGGGCGGTTGCGGGAGCCGGGACCCCGCGGCTGGACCGTTACCCCACTCGCTGCCGGCGTGGGGGCTGGGGGCGGGGGCAGCGGACCACCCCGCGGCGTGGGAACCGGCGGCGGGGCGTCCCGGGGCGCGTCCCCGCACCCGCCGCCGGCCGCGGGGCTTCCGCGCCAGTCCTCGGGGCGGGCCGCGCCGGGGTCCCCCGCGCTGCGGGCGCGCCTCCCGGGAGCCCCCCGCGGCGGGCGCCGCTCGCCGCGCCCGCAGGCCGACCAATCCGCGCCCGGCGTTCAAGATTCCCGCCGCGCCCCGGCGCTGCGCCCACTCGCGCTCCGCTGTCCTCCAGACTTCCACTCCCGCGCGGCCGCGGCGCTCCCGGGCGCGCCCCTCGGACCCTCCGCGCGGACGCCAGCCGCGCCCGGGGCGCCCGCCGCCAGCCCCCGCCGTCCCCGCCGGGGCGCGCCAGCCCCTGCCCACCCGGGACGCCCCCAGGCGGGGCGGGGCGGGGCGGGAGCGCCCGGGTCGGCCGCGGGCGGGGCCGGGCGGGCGTCGCCTCCCGCGCGGGGGAGCCCCCGGGCTGCCCCCCGGCCGCCGCCGCTGGCTTCGGGGCCGCTCCCGGGCTGGTGCGCGGGGCCACCGCGGGCGGGCGATGGCGACGGGGGGCCGCCGGGCGCGAGGAGGCGGGGTGGGGGAGGCGGGGACAGCGCGGGGGCGGAGGCTGGCAGGGGGCGCTGGAGGCCGGAGCCGCCGGAGCGCTCCTCGCGCCCGAGGGTGCTGGAGGCTCTGAAGCGGCGGCGGCACCGCGAGCCTCCGGGGCCCGGGCGGCGGCGCGGGGCGGGGGGCGCTGCCGCCGCCTGGGGCGTCGCCGGCGCGGCCCCTTTGTTCTCGCGCGCGCCCCCTCGCCGCCCACTCCCCTGCTGTCGCGCGGCGGCCGCGGCTCCTCCCGCCCGGGGCGGTCGGGCTGGGCGCCGGGGGCGGGCGGGGGCGGGGGGAGCGCGCCAGCCGCCCGAGTGGGGGGCGATGGCGAAGCTCCGGGTGGCTTACGAGTACACGGAAGCCGAGGACAAGAGCATCCGGCTCGGCTTGTTCCTCATCATCTCCGGCGTCGTGTCGCTCTTCATCTTCGGCTTCTGCTGGCTCAGTCCCGCGCTGCAGGATCTGCAAGCCACGGCGGCCAACTGCACGGTGCTGTCGGTGCAGCAGATCGGGGAGGTGTTCGAGTGCACCTTCACCTGTGGCGCCGACTGCCGGGGCACCTCGCAGTACCCCTGCGTCCAGGTCTACGTGAACAACTCCGAGTCCAACTCCAGGGCGCTGCTGCACAGCGACGAGCAGCAGCTCCTGACCAACCCCAAGGTAAGGACGCCCCGCGGGGGCGCCTCGGCCCTGCGCGGGCTGGAGGTTTGGGGAGCGTCAGAGGGAGACCTGGCGAGGGAGGCGCGGCAGCCCCAGCTGGACTCAGGCCCCGGGTGGGGGGCACCTCCAGGAGCCCCCCCGGCTCTTGCCTCGCGGAGCGGCTTGTGCGCCCCGAGGCTTTCCGGACGCACCTCTTTCGTCTGGTTTCGGAATTTGAGGTCAGCGCCCAGGTCGGGGCGGGCCCCTCCCTGCAGGACGGGTTTGGGGGACGTGCGAGGAGCCGAAAGTTAACTTTTGCGTGTGTTGAAGCCGGTGGGTGGCGGGGATCCACCTCCTCTCTGGAGCCCTTAGTTCCGACCCCTCCCTGCTACTAGCCGCGTGGAGAACTCATCTCGGGAGGTGAAGGGGTGCTTTCAGCACCCTGGAAGGTGAGGCTCCCTTGCCTTTTAACTCTGGACAGCCGTTTGCAGCTTGGAGTCCAACGATGAGTTTTTGAGGCTTGACAAGGCGACAGTCAGGCGAAATTCGGTGTGGGTTATTTGGGGAGGGACCGAGGGCTCCTAGTATTCATGCATAGAGTCTCGAAAGGGTCTACGAGGAGTCTAGTGACTCTGTGTGTCTACGGACTCTCAGGAACCATCTGGAGAACGGTAAAACACTGGAAATAGAACACCCTCTGTGAAATGTACCGAATATTCTTTCCCTGGCAACTTTATTTTTTTCGTTCTCACGAGCCAAAAAGGAAAAAAAAAAATAATAAAACCTGGTTAGGGCTCCAGGGATGGAGAGCAGAGAGGAAGACTCAGAAAATTGCTCCCAGTAGAGGAAAAACTTATAAAAAGCAGTGTCCTGGGTCTGTGAACTAATTCAGCTTTGTAGTACACCTTGTTCTGCAAGGATTTTCTCTGCTTTTCTTGGTCTTTTTTACTGTCCTTGTTGTTTCACTCTCAAAGTAAAGGTGTGTGTCTTCGTTAAAGTTACTGACGTTCTCCCTTTTTGTAAGGACTGTGTGTGAAGATCGAGCAGGGAAGCCGAGTGGAAAGGAAGGAATCTGTACATACAGGGCAAATGTGACAAGTTTATATGCTTATTGCTCAGGGATTTCAAAAGAAATCTGAGGGGTTTAGAAGCATCGTTTTGGTTTTTGTTTTTTTTTTTCCAGGATTAAACCATTATTATGAAAGAAAAGGGCCAAGCAGTAATAATTACTTAGAAATTGTATGGTAAACCATCACTTAGGAGGTGTTACAGTTGATGAAACATTACTAATTACTTTAAGATAATTTGTCAGGCACTCATAAATCATGCAAACAGACCAGTAAATGGCTACTAGCTAAACAAGATATTGAAAAATTTTAATTTACTACAAAAAGGCTATTTGACAATTTCCAGGCAATTTTGAAGACTCTGGCAGATAAAGTAAACTGTGATCTTTAGAACATAGATTTATGAATCACTTGGAAACAGTCATAATGTTTTATACAATAATGTTTTATGCAATACTAAGATTCTCTTTCTCATTGTTGCAAATAATCTTTCTTCCAATGGCAGTTCACATCCTGGCAACAATGGTTTTGAAGAGGTAGCCAAGCAAATTAGTATTTTACAAAGTGTTCAGGGTATTGCAGAAAGACATATTTATGTTACAGAAAAGCGGTCAACAACATCCCGGTCGATTTAGTTAAGGTTTCCTCACCTAATCAGCATATATCTCTCTCCAAATCATGATTGCATTGTAGCATTTATGGAAAAATAAGTTTGCAGTTACTTTTCTACTTTTGGACCATTAAATTCTCAGTTTTGAAGCTCTTGTAAGCAGGGACAGAAAAATTCAACATGACCAAAATATTGTGCCAGAGTCCAGTCCATAAGCAGAATGTTTCCACAGTGTCAACACGATTAGGCAAACTCCATTGCCTATACCTGTTGCATCTTGACTGCCTAGAGCTTTCTTTACCTTACCTGACCTTACCTTTCCTTACCTCTTGATTGAAAGCTTAGGTCCTCCACCCATAGTCTCTGTAGAATATTTTGATTCCTGACAATGTCATGGATCCTAATCTTCAAACTTTTTAAAAAAATTATTTATTTATGCATACAAGAACTGGGATACAGGCCAGAGTCAGGAGAGGTCTACTGGGCTATGTGGGTCACCTCCCTGGCCAGGGATCAAACTCATGCTATCGTGGCTGCTGATAGCTTCACAGTGCTGGGTCTTAACCCCTTGCACCACCAGGGCTTTCCCCTACTCTTCAGACTTTTCTTCTTAATGTCCCACTATCACAAGAACCACACTTAGAGAACAAGACCAGCGCTCCTCCCTTGAGTTTGGTGCATTAATTAAAGTGAACACTAGGGAAGGGGAAAGAATATTGCAATATTTCTTAGGCCGTAGAGAGCCAAAGAATATAGTGTGAATAATTTTGATCTTTTACAAATAATTTCTTTTAAATACCTTTTAGTCCTATTCAACTTATTTGTGGTTTGAATCACATCCTTATAGTCTAAAGTAATCACTGTATCCAATCATATAATAGATAATAGTATTCATGTCAATAATTATCCTCAGGACAATGTGCTACTCCATGAATTAACCACAGCAAAATCTTAGGGTCCACTTCCCCGTGCTGCTATTCCCTTCAACACATTATATGTCTGTGTGACTCATAGTCGTGCCTGCTGAGAGCATTAGCTCACCACTTGGTCTGCCCCATAGATTCACATGGGGTACTTTATTTATTTTTTTAGGTATCTTTCATTTATTTTTTATTTTTTTTCAAAGATTTATTTATTTATTTATTTATTTATTTATACAAGCACTGGGTACAGTCAGAAGCGCGGGAGGGTGAGAGAATTCACCAGAGCCAGAGCGGGGAGCAGAGCAGGCAGAAGGACCGAAGTACACTGCTGAGGGGAGCAGCGGGCGGCAGGAGAGGTCTGCGCGCCATGTGGGACCCTCCTCCCCGGCGCCATGTGGGACCCTCCTCCCGTGGCCGGGGAGCAGCCGGGGATCCTCCAGTGGCCGGGGAGCAGCCGGGGATTGAACCGGCGCTGCAGAGGCTGCGGGCAGCTTCGCAACCCAGCGCTCAACCACTGCGCCACCGGGGAGGCCGCACATGGGGGTACTTTAAAAAGAAATTCTGATGCCTGTGTCCATGCCTCAGAGATGGCCACTTGCACTTGGGTTGGTCCAGGGCACTGATTTTTTTTTTTTTTTAAATTTCTAAAAGTAATTCTAACACAGAGAAAGAACAGAAATAAGTGGCTTAGAAAATGCATTCATTGGGCCACCCCTGGTGGTGCAGCGGTTGAGCGCTGGGTTGTGAAGCTGCCCACAGCCTCTGCAGCGCTGGCTTGATCCCTGGCCGCCGGCGAGGGTCCCACAAAAAAAAAAAAAAAAATAAAGCATTCTTCTTGGGCCTCCTTCATGGCCCAAGGGGTTAAGCACAGCACCGAGAAGCTATCTGCAGCCTGTGCAGCAAAAGTTTGATCCCCGGCCTGCTAGAGAACTACCCACATGGCTCAGCAGACCTCTCCTATCTTGCCCATTGCTCCCCTCAGCAGTGTATTTCAGTCAGTCTGCCTATTCTGCTCCCCACTCTGTCTCTGGTGAATCCTCTCACCCTCTGCACCTCTGGCCTGTACCCCAGTTCTTGTATATGCATAAATAAATAAATCTTTAAAAAAAAAGAAAATACATTCATCTTTTATGCAAGAAAAGCACAATCAGAACCAAGAGGACTCATTGTGATTTATATTTCTGTTTCTAGGTTAAAGGATATTACCAATCCAGCTGAATATAGGGAGCTAGTATAGAGCAGGGATTTCAGGGAATTCTGAAGGAAAAGAAGAATACCATTTCATATTAGTGTGGAAATGTTCATTTAAAATTGGTTAATTTAAATACACTTATGCAGTGCAAGACATTTGCTTTTATATTCATACATTGAATGACCAAAAAACGATGATTTTTAAAAACTGACCTCTTTGCATGTGGAACAGAGTAGGTGAATATGTTGATTTTGAGATGTTTTTCTTTTTCTTTTTTTTCTTGCATCATTCCAATTTTTAGTATATGTGCTGCCAAAGTGAGCACTTGAGGTGTTTTTCTATCTCATATAAAAAACCTAGAAACAAAGGACAAAAATCTTTCTCTAAGAAGTCAGTACTGTAAAAGTGAGAGAAACACATTGACTAGAAGAGAAACAGGTGGAACCAGAAGAGGCTTTAGGCTTTAAGTGCACCACTTGAAACTAATTTACAGGCCTTCCTGGCTTAAGGTCATTTTCTGGGTTTTCTTCACATCATGCTAATGCCCCCTTCTCCCTCTCACCTCCAACTTCCCTTGTAGATGGTGTAATCTAGTGGGGTTAATTCCTTTTTTTAAAATTTTTTAAAAAGATTTATTTATTTATGCATACAAGAACTGGGTTGTAGGCCACAAGTGCAGTGGTCGGGGGTGAGAGGATTCACCAGAGACAGAGTGGGGAGCAGAACAGGCAGAGTTACTGAAGTACACTGCTGAGGGGAGCAGCAGCAAGACAGGAGAGGTCTGCTGTGCCATGTGGGTCACCTCCCTGGCCAGGAATCATGGAACTTGTGCTGCAGTGGCTGCCAATAGCTTCATAGTGCTGAGACTTAACCCCTTGTGCCACCAGGGAGGCCCTGGTGGGCTTAATTTCTGCACTCCATCCTTGTGAATAAATGTTCAGTGTGATATACTTTGTTCCCTTGGGAGGTACATCATATCAAAATGAAGTAAAAAGGCTCATTTGTAATGACTTTGCTACCATCTTTATTTCTCCATGAAAAAGTGGTTTATTATGGTTGTTTTATCACTGATGATTATATTAAATACTTTTTTTTAAAGATTTGTTTATTTATATATACAAGAACTAGGGTACAGGCCAGAGGTGTGTGGGGGTGTGAGAGGATTCACCAGAAACAGAGTGGGGAACAGAACAGAAGGATTGACTGCTGAGGGGAGCAGCGGGCGAGAC